TTACACAGTGGTCATACTTTCTAAGCCAATAAAAAAAGCATTTATATACTTGGGCAACTATAAGTGTATTTCTCAGAACAATAAGGGAGTATATCTGAAATTGGAATGTGTTGGGAAATCTGGACTGTGTACTCACCATAATTACAAGGTTTGGTCACAGAGAACAAAGCGGTTGACTGACCAACAGGCTTGTAAACCATCCTATTATTTGCATTAGTTTCTGCTTGGAATCTGTTGATAGAGGCTATAGCTCCTGGAAGAAACAATGTTTAATGTGGATTCAATGTTAGAACAAAAAGTAATTTTTTATAAATAATTTTCAAGCTGTAGAAATACCTCAGAATCTTGTTCTTCCTTTTTTTTTTTTTTAACTATCACACACCTACCATGTTCTGTGTAATTTGCTAAGTACTGGAGATTTGGCGATGGATGAAACAGAAAGCACTAACTTACCCTGTGTCATTTTAAGTGTCTTAGAAAGTCTTAGTGGAAAATTGGATCAAAAATAATCTCTGAATTCCATACTTACCATGAAATTCGAAGTCTAAAAATGCATTTTTTAAAGATGATATATTGGAAAGTGAGAGTTAAATTATAGAAGGCAATAATTGGGATGTAATAATTTATATCAGAAATGATACATATGTTAAAGAGTAGCATTTTGACAGATGTAAAATTGTATCAGAAATTTAATAATAATAATACACTAAGAATTATATAAGACAAAGGAAAATGCTGAATCAAATTTTTCTTGGATAAGAGTCTAGGTCAGCCATTGGTCATTCCTTGGTTTCCCTTCTCTAGCAATAGAAATCATTCTCCATTCTGTTGAAATTTGTAAGGATGACTTGAAACATTGTAGACTGATGAAGTGTACAGCTAGTTTTCTCCACTCTTCCTCTTTTCCTTTCCCTTAGATTTTCTTATTTGGCCCCAAACAAGTGGTTTGTCATTGATGCTTTCCTTGTATTCATTGTCATTGAAATAGTGGTATTAAGGATAATATTTCTTAAATGATATCATACTTTTATTACCCTTGTTCTTTTCTTCAAGCAACTCTAGAAATCATTAGTTACATGATGGAAGAGCTGAACACCATCCCTATGGAAAAAGTTATTCCAAAGTCTTGGCTCCACCAGCTGCTGCCTACACACAGAATTTCTGACCACAATACACATGAAGAGATAAGAATATTAACATATTTGGGGCGCCAGGGTGGCTCAGTAGGTTAAGCATCTGCCTTTGGCTTGGGTCATGATCTCAGGATCCTGGGATTGAGCCCTGTGTCAGGCTCCCTGCTCAGCAGGGAGTCTGCTTCTCCCTTTCCTTGTCCCTTCTGCCCTTCTCCCCAACCCTGCTCATGCTCGCTCACTTTCTCTCTCTCAAATAAATAAAATCTTTGAAAAAAAGAATATTAGCATGTTTAATCAAAGGCATGCACTTTTCAACCTAAAATACTCAATGCAAGATAGCTTGGAAAGAATAACATTTTACACACACACACACACACACACACACACTGCAAAAACCAACTGTGACCCCTATCTTGGGACCTTAGAGACTGTCATTTATGTCAGTATAATTAAATCTTCAAATCATGGGGGAGTGGTGTCATTATGGTGGGCACTGGCTGTGTGAAGCTAAGCTTCTTTAAATAACAAAGTAGAAGTAATTCATAATAGGACCATGGAATGATGATTTTGTCTCATGCTGGTCTGACAAATAAAGTGGTTTCTCTTGGAAAATATTGGGGACAAAAAATCTAATTCCAATGTGGACCATAATATTTTAGATGTATTGTTCTACGGAAAAGCAATACTAGTTAGATAAATTAGCATAGTGATATGATTTGAGTCTCTCCCTGTTTTCATTTGTGCTTCTGGAATGGGGATGGCTCCATCTGATATTTTTGTTATGAGGGGATATTAGCTTTTTCTCCTCATGCCTCTTTTATAGTCCTGGGGAGGAGGACATTTCACTTCCCTAAGCACCAAGTTTCAAGTGAGTACTGCAAAGTATACACTATAAAAAATGCAATGACTTAATTGATTAGTGAGGTGGTCTTTTCTATTCCTTTGCCAAAGTAAGCTCAGAATAATAAATCTTATGGAACATAATGCATCAACAGCTCTATCCCATAATAACAAACCCAAACCTTTGTAACTTAGAAAGATGGTGTGAGAGAATGTTTGTCTCTTACATTTTATCATCAATCTTTTCATCTTTATTAGAGCTGATGCCGCAGAGTACAAAGTTGAGTGGAAAGTACAGATTATCCATGGATCTCACTGAAGTTAATGAGTTTAATCTACTTTCTGTCAAGCTTGACTCAAGTTGTTAATTAGGAGGCAAATTGGCCAATTTAATTTCCCCCTTCTTACCCGCCCCCCATTTTCTGCTCTCTGGAATATAAATAATCATGGATTAGGCAAAAGGTCAAGAAGAAAAATAAGGAAAGGGGCTTGAATATTTTAGAGACTATAAGATGTTGAATGAGCAAAAAATAAATTATCTACCTAATTTTTTCAGTGACTATCAAATTTCTCATAAAGACAAGCCCTCTTAAAAGGGAAACAACAAAATCAAAGCTCAAAATCAGGGGAGTTTAGCTGTAATTTTCCAGAAATTAATTTTCATTTTTTTTTCATCTTCCATATAGTGACATATTAGATGCTTCACTTTTAGGTTAAATATATTTTTGTAATTTCCCACTTAATCTGTTCCAAATAGTTACAATGTGTAGGTCTGGGTAGCTAATTGCTTTTCTTGATTCCCTTTCAGATTTTCAAACAATGTTTACAATGACTCACTTTTTTTTTTTTTTTTGCTGTCACTTGTTTGTTCTACTTTGCTTTTAATGCCCCTTCCTTAGATGTCTCAGCCAAGAGCTGCATCATATTGACACCAACTTAACTCTCATGAATGCAAGTTGGTTTTCCAACCCATTAGTGCCCTCCACCAGTCAAGTGTTGGACCGCTAGAAATGAAGAAGCAGAACTTTGGTTTACATATGTTGACATGAACAACTCAGTTGCACCCGTTATGAGAGTAACTGCTTAGCTCATGATGAGTGAATAGGTCATCCAACAAGAAACAGAAAACACAGAAATGGGCCCTCTATGGGAGCAGGGTAGCAAGGTGCTGACAGTTTAATGAATGACTTGTCTGTTATGACAGTGGGACACCTTGCAATGCCAAGTGCAAATATTTGAAAGAATATGCAATGCAGGAAATGTATATATGTTCTATATATAGGACACTTAGATTGCCTGTATCACTAACAGATGGGCAGAGTTTGAGAAATCTTATTTTATAATGTGCAACATCACCCTTGTCAGATATACTTTGAGATCTAAGGATAAATGGAGCATGACACTCAGAGTAAAATGGGAATTCCACTGTATGTACTTTGGGACTGGGGGCCTTAGGGTAGATGAGATCAGCATAGAATAGTGCCCATATTTTTTACAGCCCCAACTCTGATCTCATTTATGATTTAATTGTACACAGCTCTAAGCACCATGTGAGATGAAATGGGTAAGGAGATCATTTCGAGAGAAGACTTTAAATAAAATTAAATAGTGAAAGCATGACTAAGGAGCCAACTGATCAGAGTAATAAGAGGTTCACTTCCTCTTTCTGATTAGGAGATTGCCTACATCAATGCCGAAGAGCAATAAAATATCCGAGCTCTGAAAAATGGCATTATTTTTCAATGGACTCAGAGTTATAACTCAGATAATTTTTAATTAAATCAGCATAGGTAGATGACTGACTGATAGGTCTTCAAATAGATCCTGAGACACTCATCCATACTCGCATGCATTCTTGAAAATACATTTGCTACCCATAATAAATAATCACAGAGACAAGGAATTAGACTCACCAACTGCAGAGATTAATGGTCATTTTAGAGTCTGATGGGTTGAAAGTGTACGCATGGTAGATTAGTGTGTGTGGTATTTTCTATTAAAGAAGTAAAGCAGGGGATGGGCAACACCTGAAACCTGTAGATAGCCACACTGTTGAATTTCTTTTTTTTTTTTTTTAAAGATTTTATTTATTTATTTGAGAGAGAGAATGAGACAGAGAGAGAGAGCACAAGATGGGGGAGGGTCAGAGGGAGAAGCAGACTCCCTGCCGAGCAGGGAGCCCGATGCAGGACCCGATCCAGGGACTCCAGGATCATGACCTGAGCCGAAGGCAGTCGCTTAACCAACTGAGCCACCCAGGCGCCCCCACACTGTTGAATTTCATTAATGCTAACTCATTAGCCAGATTAAGCCATAGTGAAGTCTCCCTCTTGGCTCATCATTACGTGCATTCCCATTCATTATTCATCAGTTTTACTGGCAAATGGCTCAGTACCAACTGCTTTGCTGAATGTTCTAGTTAATGGCATATCGCCTTCAGAAATGTACTGTATCAAAGCCCTAAAAGCAAATCTATGGATTGCTGTTCTTAGCTTTCCATTCATTCTCTGGCAACTCTCCCAGCAAAACTGGATTCTCAGAGCCTTGCTAAGACAGCATTTCTTCCTAGGCACGAAAACAATTCTGTAGGAATAAAGGGCCCAAGCCAATAAGAACTCACATGAAGCTGGCAAAATATAGGTCCTTTACAGCTGGTTAGACTGCTTTGTCTGTGTAGCCAGGTCTCAATATCTGGTGTAAACTACTTGGCTGAGGCAAGAGAGTAATATATCTGGCTTTCAAATCATCAGAGCACCATCATTTGGCCTATTGAATTGATCCAATTAGACAAGGGATCTCAATACTATTGGAACATAGCTATTATAACTTGCTGCAAAATAGTATGTCCCTTTAGTGCAGGCTAAGTGGTCTGCTAAATGTTTATTTCTCTTAGTCAGTTCTACAATATTTTTTGATAAAGAACTTAGCTGTTTATAAAAATGAAAATATAATTAAGCACATAAAAATTGTATGTGAAAAAATTTGCCTCTGCACTTTCTCACTATCTGTGATCTCCTCTTTCCACAGGAACAGCTCTACCACTGCACTACTTATGCTCTCCCCATTGGAGCCATTCTGGATGCTTCCCTCCTCTATCTATCCTGGTGGGTTTACCTGATCAGCCTCTGAACACTGCCAGTTGTGTACAACTATTGCCCCCTCAAATTCACCCTTCCTTTCCAGTCCATCTGCTTTCATTCCAGGTCAGGTCTTCATAATCAGCGAGTTAACATTATATACGGTAGCTTCATGGAACCATGTCTCGAAACCCTAGTTGGAGAAGAATGCGTTAGAAGTCTCTTTCCTTTTGCAGTTAAGCCAGATGAGGATGTAAATCATATAAATGTAAACTCTATGACAGGTGAGCGGGGTGATGGCTCTTCCCTTGATGGAAGTCTGTTGACTCTCAAAATATGGCAGCAGCTGGGTACTAGAAAATGGAGGTGAGCTGTAGAGATATGTTAGAGACACCCAGAAACAGATCCTCCCACTCAGTGTCCTCATCTAGTAATAGAGGCTTGTCTTTGAAAACTCTAGAAAAACTTACTAAATGCTTCAGCCCAAAAGGAAAAAAAATAAAAAGTATACGGACAAGGTCAAGTGACAGGCAATGCGTTTTATAACACGTATGACAAGGAAAGAGCTAATTTTCTTAGCATGAAATATTCCACCAAGTCAGTCAGGGAAACCAAACCTTCCAGTGGAAATATTGTCAAGGGACAGGAACAGATAGCTCCTAGGGGTTTAAAGAGAAATTAAATTTAAATATGATGAAATGTTCAAATTTTAAAATAAAACTATATGTGTTTACATAATTAGGTTCATAAAGACCAGAAAGTGTAAGATCAAAGGGAATGTGGAGAACCGTACTCACATACATATATGGAGGGAATAGAGACCCTTTGCCAGTACAATTTGCCCAAAGTTATCAAATTCTACAGAAGCATATTCTGATAAAGAATTCCATTCTTAGAGTCTTGGTTATAGATTAGATGTGTGCAGATATGTAGGTGCAAGAAGGCAGCTATGTCATTGTTTATGAAGGTAAAGGACCCAGAAACAATGTTTAAGTGTGGTAAGAGGGGGTTAGTGAACAAATACTGGTAGTTCCATCCAATGGAGTAATAGGGAGCTACGGCTGTCAGAAAAGAATGAGGAGGGTCTGTATACTTCCATATGGACCAACTTCCAAGACAAAGTGAAAATGCAGAGTGAAAGAGAATGTGTACCAAATCCTAGTTGTGTGAAAAAGGAAGGTTATACACATGTTGACATATACCCATATTATCTGTAGATTTTTACATAAAACCTTTGTAGTAGTGATTATGTCTGAGGTGGGGAAATAGGAGACTGAGAATCACTAGCAGACAGAAAACATGATTTGCACTGAATACTTACTTGTTCCCTTAGGGTTTTTCAATTTTGCATAAATTAATCTTTTAAAAATAAAAATATGTATGTTATGTATATATATGTAGATGAGATATTGTGTATAATATATACTCATTATATATAATATATAAGTATACATATCACATAAATAAATATCTACATTATACACACACACACACATACACACAACTATCTGGAATAATTCATCTAGGGATTAGGAAGAAAAAATCTGATCAGAAAAATGTACCAGAAGATGGTGATGACTAACATTTGGCTAATTTTCTACTCCCTCAAATCCAGTCAGTTGGAAATTTTCATTTAAAAACAAAACAGTCTCTAATTAATAGAAATTTAAGCTAGAGGAGATGATGGGTTTCCTTGGTTGGAGGGAAACTTCTGTGCTTGATATATTCTGCCTCATCTCTGAAAACCCCGAGATGAACAGGTAAGTGAGGTTTTGATTCTTTACTTTTATTTTTTGTTACTGATTTTGATGCGTTTCTTCCCTTCAGCTCTTTTCCTATTCCCAAGGAAGATTTGTCCACTAATCAACTTCTCTTCTATTGGCTTCCTGCTTTGATTCAGTGAGCATTCCAGTATTGCTTCATTATAAAAAGGGGTCAGATGGAATTACAAAAAGATAGGGGCCAACCTTCATACATACTACTGTCATTTCATGGTGGCTGCACTCATCAAATGGCTAGCTTGAGTCAATTCCGCAAGTTGCCCCTAGAACATGGATGCCTAATTTGTATAAAACCATACTTTTCAGGGTGTACTCTTCCCACCTTACAGCCTAAAGTGCTGTCCCATAAAGCAATTAGTACTCTTCTCCCTCTCCCCCCCCCCATCCCTCTTTTTCAAAACTAGTTTGTACCAAATGCACATGACAATTAGAATCTCCACAGTATCTGGATATTCAACCAAATGACTTTCATGGCTCTTGTTATAAGTTTTGGACCCAATGTGCTCTGCCTTCATTTATCTCATCCCTCCTTTATTCAGTTCCTTATTCTGATATGCATAATTCCTTCCATCAGGCTCGTTTTTACCTCACCCACCATAATTCATCTTCTTTCCAGTGAACTGCACGCTTTAGAGCCCCAATGCCATCAATCACAATTGACCTGCATCTTCAAGCTTTCAGAGAAAGAGTTCTCCACCTTTTTGTAACCAAAGTAAACCAAAGCCTGGTAAGATGGCTTCTCCCTTAGGCTCATCCTCTTTCAGGCCTGGGAAGCACTGTAGCAAATGTCCTAGTCCTCATTACCCACTTCAGTATTTCTTCAGGTCATTATATCTGTAATTAGCCCTCTCTCTCATCCTCCATACCTCCAATCCCTAAACCTTCATCCCTTTCCCTAAGCCATCTCTACTCACCTCTCTCACTTGATATCTTGCTCTTTGCTCACTAACTTCTTCAGCTTCCTGCCCTCTGCCCACACAGTGAATTGCATCTGTGCCCCTTCTTCTCTGTCTCGGAAGGACTGGATCCCCTTCTACACACCAGACTTATGCACACACCTTTGCTTTCCATCCCATTTCTTTCTGAGTTCGAGAAGACCTCAGGGACTTGGTTCCATTACTAGAGTGTCTCATTCGCAATGTCTCTTCTTCTGTGGCCCTTTTGCTTCTATTTGCTTAAACAAACAAATGAACAAACCAAGCCAAAACAACAATAAAACACATGGGGAGGGGGGCAGACTTCTTTAACTTTTGGGTCTCCAGTTATTTGAGCCAGAAATCAACCCTTCCCACTGTTTCTCTGCTTGTTTAAGCACACCATCAGTTCCTTTTCCATTCCTATAAGCCAGTACTTCTCAACGTTGAAAGCATTCCTAGGGATCCTGATTGGGCAGATCTGAGGTGTGGCCACGGTGTCTGCATTTCTAAGAAGCTCCTGCTTCTGCTGCTCCCTGGATCACCCATGGTGTGGAAGACTAGAGATGCTTCTAACACACTTGGTGAGATTTCAGGAGCAAATTTCAAAAGAAGGCACACGATTATTTTCCATAGCTTTTATCCAATGGCTTGGAGAGAGCAATCTAATCTTAACATTGATAATGCAATCACCATCGTTTCATTGATGTAGGTACTAGATTAGGTTTATTTACCTACCTTAAGTCATTGATCTTTATAATACTTGGAGTATAGATGAGGAAACTGGAGTTTAAAGAGGTTGGATGACTTGCTTGTGTGCCAAACTGACAAAAAAGAAAAATGGTTTCCATGAGAGACGATGGACTCTGAAAAACAAACTGAGGGTTCTAGAGGGGAGGAGGGTGGGAGGATGGGTTAGCCTGGTGGTGGGTATTGAGGAGGGCACATTCTGCATGGAGCACTGGGTGTTATGCACAAACAATGAATCATGGAACACTTCATCTAAAACTAATGATGTAATGTATGGGGATTAACATAAGAATAAATAAATAAATAAATAAATAAATAAATTTTTAAAAAAAGAAAAATGGTTCCAATCACCATTGTTAGAATAATTAGTGTCCATGCCTCTTAAAATATTTTGAATTTATACTCTGATTTCCCTTTTATTTATTACCTACTTTCTTATCCTATTTTTAAAAAGATTTATTTATTTATTTTAGGGGTGGAGGGGCAGGGGGAAAGGGAGAGAAAGAATCCCAAACAGACTCCACACTGAGCACAGAGCCTGAAGCAAGGCTCAGTCCTAAACCCTGAGATCATGACCTGAGCCAGAGGCTGAGCCACCCAAGCACCCCTTTTCTTGTCCTATTTTGTCCCTCTTCACCAACATGACTGGGTGTTAGGAAGTAACTTTTGTCTTTAGAGAAAAAAAAGTTCTATTTCTCTACAGAACAGAAACACAGGGAACAGAGCATTTAACTTGACAATCCCCTTATAAATAAATAACGAAATAATAAAATTTCGTTCTGAGATCAGGCTGATGAGGTTTGAAACATGGCTTTGCCTCCCAGTTTGTGATCAAATTATGTAACTTCTCTGTACCTCATTTCTTGAAAAGACAGGGAAATACTAAAATTTTTCTCATAGGTTGTGACAAAGATGAAATGAAATAAAGCCTCTTATAAAATAAGCTAGCACCTGGCAAATGATTAATGCATGTCAGGAATTACTATTTGTATTACCATTAATGTTATTATTGCTATTATTATTATGGATTTTAAAAAATTTATTCCTGAGATGATGACGGTGATTATCCTACTGAGACTGAAAGATATAATTCAGCCAAATGATCTATCATTTTGGTTTGCTAGTTCTGTCCACAGACTGAGTCTGCAGAACTCCCCTGATGCTTGAAATTCTGCAGACCAATTTCTCCTCCATCTCTTAATCCTCTCCACGAAGATAGAGCAGTTAATGAATTAGCTTGATCTATCTCCTTAAGCTTTACTGTCATCAGCAAATTACCCTAAAGAATATTATAAATGGACTTTACAAATTAGAAATCATGACCTTAAATTACTTCCTTCCTCCCTCTATTCTCTCATTTCAAAAATTTGCAAATCTACTACCCATCAATTTAGCTCTGGCAGACAAAATTTAATCAGGCATTTCTTATACAGAATTGTATACAAAAACTCTTTAGTAGGACTTGTAGTTTTGTTTGCTGGGATTATCCAATGACTTCAACTGTAACAATTATTTAAAGAAAAAAAAAACGACCTTGATCATCCTGCCATCCGAGGATTATTATAGGATTAGAGTTACTGATATTTTGAATCTCTGTGATTCTTGTTGATTTCATTTGGTAAATTGCCTGAATTGATATAACTGATGGACTAACATTAATTTTCCACCTAACTGTACAAAGAGGATTTATATATGTCCCAGAAATATTTTTAATACTTATATAGATATAAAGTTTAGCAATGGTTCTATTAACAAAGCAGAAAGGTGCTTTCTTTATACTGACACAGTGAAATAAGTTCATATTTTCTTTAACAGATGATAAATTTATAAAGCTGGGATTGACCTTGAAAGTAATGAAATAAAAGACTAATTTTTTTTTTCCATTCAGTGAGCTTTAGAAAGTTAAGTGTCTTGCCCACTATCATGGAGGGACAGTTAGGATAAAAATAGCAGATCAATTTCTTTTTCACTGGAGGAACAACACTTCTGAATGAATGCCAATTTAATTTGACTTCATATTAGCTATTATCTACAATTTGGGATAAAATTAACTTAGCAACGGAATGCATAATTACCATATGTCATTTGATTTTAATAAAAATGTGGTTTATATTATTGTTTTGCCAGGATGTGTTTTGTTTACAGCCTTCTTAGTTCACGTAAGACTCCCTATACAAATAGTTGCACAAGAAATGCTATTTCTACTCTGTCATAACCTAGACCTCCCTCTGACTCAGATTTCAAATGCTTTTGCTTCTGTTAAGTTTCCTCTGCATGAACACCATGAAGAGTAGAGGCTGCGTCTGGTTAAAGATGGAAAGAAGATCACATGCATACACTATCCTGCCTTCCAGATGCCTCAGTATAATAATTTCAGGGAATAAAGGAGAGAAAAGCAAACCCCACAAGAATAAAGAGAAAGTATTAAGACAAATGATGTTAGAATGATAGCCATGTTCCTGCAGTTGACTGTTGGAGGTGCACTCTCCGGAGTGAGTAAACCAAATGGGATCTGGCCTGGGAGACACCATTTGACAACGAGGACTTCATGTGAAACAGACGCTGATGACGAGTTTACATTGTGAATGTTTAGACTCCCAGCTTTCCACCTCACCAGCTCCCAGGATGCTGGCAGCAAGTTTGTATTAACTCAATCCTGCTGCATAACAGGATAAAAACAAAACAAGACAAAGCAAACAATGTTAGCATTTCAATTAAAATATAGATTGAGATCAATAAAGTTTTTCTGTAAGCGGTCAGGTAGTAAATATGATGGAGTTTGTGAGTCATGTATCATCTGTTGCATATTCTTCTTTGGCGGTTGCTGACTTTTACAATCCTTTACAAACTTGAAAAGCTGTTCTTAGCTAACTGGCTGTAAAAAAAATAGGCTGCAGGCCAGATGTGGCCCAGATTTGAACTGTAGTATGCCAACTCTTGGTATAGAGGATCACAGGTGCCATTTATCCTGCATCTATAACAAATAATGCAAAAATATGAACAAGGTGTATATTCTACCTGTGAAGTACAGGTAAAATAAACTCCAGACATCTAACTGTGAACACACAGAATATGAAGGAACTAAGTCCCACAGGAAGCTCACTTCTTGGGTGAGCAATGATCAAAAGCTGTTTCTTCCCACAGGCCCTTGTCCATAACTGGGCACCTGCTGGTAGAGCATCGTGTCTGGGCAGAGGGTATCTGCTAGAGTAAAGGGAAATCTAGAGACAATTTAGCAGCCACATAGACTGGCAAGACCTATTTGAATCTAGTGAAGTCCTAAAATCAAAACTGATCCTCTTTACCCATTGGATCACAACCACAAGATTTTTCTCAGTGGGAGTGAAGGGTATGGTTTGTGTTTGGCTAGAAAGGCATAGAGAAACCTCTAGTACATAATATAAAACCATGGGGAAAGAGAAAAAAAGCAGGGAAGAGAAGTCACCCCGCATTGACTAAGATATTGCAATCAGCTAGCAGGACTTTGAAATAACTAGTATAAGTGTATTAAAGGAGAGAGAAAAGTATGTACACAATGAAGGAAAAGATGGATGGAAAATTTCAATAGAGAAAAGGAACTTTTTAAAAAAGCATTAAATGGAAACTCTAGAATCGAAAAAAAATCCTTAAGAGCTGATAAACTTAACAACAAACTAGACACTGCATTAGAAGAGATCAGTGAACTGAAACACAGATGAGGAGAAATAATCTAAACTGAAGAGCAGGGAGAAAAATGTGTTAACAACAACGACAAAGAAAACCAAAACCAAAAAAAACAGAACCAATGTGAGAGACATAGGATAATAATAAACAGTGTGATAGATACGTAATTGAAGATACAAAGGAACAAGAAAGAAGAGAAAGCAAGAGCTATTTTATTTTATTTTATTTTATTTTTTTGAGGGGCAACTATTTTTATTTCCAATACACAGATATGAAAAATGAGTCTCAGAGAAGCTACATAACATGCCTTGGTTCACAAAGCTCATAAGTAGCAAGTGGCCTAATGAATCTGAATCCATCCCCAGCAATTCCACTCCTAGATATGTATAAACCAGAAATGTGTACATGAGCTCACCAAAAGATTAGGACAAGCTGTTCACAACAGCTCTATTTATAATAGCCGATCCAGAAACTTTCCCCATGTCCTTTAGGAGAATGGGTAAATTCTGCAAAAATCATATCATGGAATGAAAGCAAGAGCTATGTTAAAGTTGACTTTGGTATACCATATGATTTCACTCATATGTGGAATCTAAAACAAAACAAAGCAAAACAAATGAATAAACAAACAAAAAGCAGAATCAGACCTATAACAGAGAACAAAACTCATGGTTGCCAGAGGGGATGGGTGGGGGGATGGGCAAAATGGGTCAAAGGGAGTGGGAGATACAGGCTTCCAGTTATGAAATGAATATGTCATGGGAATAAAAGGCAGAGCATATGGACTCTAGTCAGAGATGTTGTAAGAGTGCTGTACAGTGACAGATGGTAGCTACACTTGAGGTGAGCACAGCATAAGGCATGGAATTGTCGAATCACTATGTTGTACACCTGAAACTAATGTAATATTGTGTGTCCACCATATTCAAATAAAAAAAAAGAAAACTAAAATAAACATAATAAATAAAATAAAATAAACTGACTTTGGTAAAGAATTTTCCAAAATGAATCAAATTCTTCAAATCAAATATCCAAGAAGCTTGCTGAACTCCAAGAACACAAAACAAGATAAAAGCACCTAGATACATCACTGTAAAATGGCTGAAAATAAGCCTTAAAAGAAAGAAGAGTACGAACACCTAGCTGGTTCAGTTGGTTGAGTGTGCGTCTCTTGATCTCGGGGTTGTGAGTTCAAGCCCCACGCTGGGTATAGAGATGACTTAAAAAAAAAAATCTTTAAAAAAACGAAGAAAAGAAAAAAAAAGAAAGAACAGTAAAACAAGCACAGTGCATTCAAGGAAATAACCATAATATTGACCTGTAGCTCCTCAAAAACAAAACAAAATAAAACAAAAAAAATCACCCTCAAAATGATGGTGAAATGAGGACTTTTTCAGAAAATGGAAACTAAGAGAGACAGAAGTATCCCAAACATGATTCTGCTTTTCTTTTGGAATAGCTCATGCTTCCTTAAAGTTTCTAAATTGATGGCAGTAAAAATATTTGTTTGGGGTTGCCTGGCTGGCTCAGTCCATAGAGCATGAGACTCATGATCACAGGGTTGTAAGTTCCAGACCCAAGTTGGGTGTAGAGATTACTTGAAAATAAAATCTGAGAAAAAATTGTTCTGAAAGGTGGTCTTAAATGAAGAATAAACTTGCTAGGAGGGGTAAATCTAACACAATGTAATAAAATGTGAAAATCTGAAAAAAATGGAGTGGTAGCAAAGATTCAGAAGTAGCCACTTTTACAAGGCCGAATGTTTATTCTTGTCAAAAACTGCATATTTAATCCATTATGCTAAATGAGGTTTATAATAAAGTATTTCATTTGGTTGTGACTCCCACTGTGTAACTCTCTTCTTCCAATTTACATACTGAATGCAAAGAACCAAAGAACTATTTTGACTACTTTGTATTCTAACTGACCCCATTCATCTAAAACACCTGGGTTATTTGGGAGAACTTGTGTTCCCTGGGTAGAATTAACCAGGTAATTGCTTCTTGATCACAACACAAGACAAGTTTAAATCTGGCCTCGGTCTTTACACGTCCTTTCCTAATGGTTTCTTTCCAAACTATCACTCACTACATGGACTGTTTTAAGACACCTAAATGTTTTCCATTCCTTAACATCTCTACTCACCACATCCAGGAGAAGCCATGTAATGGCTGCCCAGTGAGAGACCTGAAAGAGGGGAGGATATGAGATTTTTGAGTACTTTTGAGCTCTAGAGGCAGCTCAAGAGACCAGTTACTGGAGTCATTTCTTCTTTTACTGTGATGCGTTTTCTGGTGGAAGAGACACTGGTTGGGTCTCCTCCAGCAGAAGGCAAACATCTGGAGTTGATCTTTCACAGTTTAGGAAAGAATTGTTGTCAGCAATTTGTGACCACTTGTAAAAGTTTTATGGAAGATGAGCATTACCTTGAAAGCCTGACTAAAGCTCCTCATACCAACCTGAAAATGGGCTGTTCCTCCCTAATGAGAACTCATTGACTGTTAGAGGCACTGGCCTGGCTTTTGATGCAGTTAATATGAATTCTTATGAAGAACCAAAGGCTGGAGGTCATTCCCTGCTTACAGTACATGAAAGAGTGGCTGGTTTTGCAGGAGATGACCCAGGAGCTATGTACCTCCACATATTGCTGTTCGTGTTCTTGTCAAACCTCACCTTTGATGTGATGACACAGATATCATCTACCAAAGATCTACCAGAGATCTTCTCCTATTCCCCAGGAGAGAAGAACTGCACTCTGTTGGGTATCCTCAGCTACAAGCTTGTCTAATCTTCACACACACCATCTTGACCCTGCGGGACAAGGACTATCAACAGTGCTGGGCACTGGCAAAGCCAGCATCCCCTCTCAAGCTGATAAAGAGGAGACACATGAATTAGCCTTTTTAACCAACCTCATGGTGTCCAGCCAGAGCTTATCTTCAGTTTTAAGGAAGGAAAAGCTGAAGTTGGCTAAAAGCTTTTCTTTATTCTCTTTTCCCTTGATAGCCTATAAGTCACCAGGGGAGCTGAATATTGCAAAATCCTGTCATGGAACAGCAGGCTGATAAACTGAAAAATAAAAACAGATGTGGAGCAGGGAAGGCTTCTGGACATTTGTTTCTTGCTTTGGACTGGTTCAAGTACTGAGACTCTTTAACCCTACTCCTACTCAGAAAAATCTAGTATTTCCTCTGCCTCGACTATCACAATCCTTGGATAATTCACATCTTTGGATAATCACCTCCCCCACATTGAAGTCAAAATAAAGTAATGGGAAAATGCAAAATGAAAATGCTAAGTGACATTTATTGCATGCGTATGTGCCAAACAGTCGGCAGGTGATAGCGTGTTTAAACAGCTCATACTCTAGAGCCCAACGACCTGGAGTCAAATCCTCACTCTAGCTCTTAAGAGCTGAGTGGTCTGGAGCAAGTTGTTCAGCTGGTTTGTGTCTCAATTTTCTCACCAGTGTAAGGGGAATAATAATACCTGGATCTCCCTCATTAAGAGTTAACCCTTGCATAGTGCTTGGAACAGCATCTGGCACGTTGCAAAACCTCAGGACGCATGACCTATCAATCTTATTATAATGCAGTGAAATAGGTAGTCTTATCCATCCCCGTGTGTCATGTGGAGAACTGAATCTCAGTGAGATTAAGCCACATGTGGAATATGCAATATTCACACCAAGCAGGGCCCTTGCCTGTAGGACTCTGTACCCAAAGTAGTGAACCGGAATGCCACATAGTGCAAGTTTCAAGGCAAAACCAAAATGGAGACCCCCACCCACCTAGGAACATCATGGTGATTTACACATATGTGTGGGCAACAAATAGAATTCAGGCTCCAATCTCCTATGTTTTCCATTCATAGATTTGGATACTGATTCTACGGAGTTCTTCAACTTTTGACTTGCTTCATGAAGGTACAACTGGTGTTATCGTTTTAGGATCCGAGGGATAGAAAGGACATCACCTTTGCAAAGGGACTGATCTCTACCCTAAGAATGAAAAAACACACATTAGCTCATCACATGGATGGACTAACTGGAGAGGGTAGATATGTATCTTTACCCTCTTTCATCTGAGATTTATCACCTAGGAATCTATTGGCTGCAAGTGACAGATGACCCAATTCACAATGAAGTATAAAGTACTTATTATCTCACATGACAAGAATCCCCAAGAGAGGGTGTTTCCAGGTTAGGGTAATTCAGTAACTCAAGGATGTTAATTCACTAACTCAAGGATTTCCATCCTTTTACCTAATCACCTTAGCATATTCCCTTTTAGTCCCCATTTGCCCTCATCTGATGGCATGATGGTTGTAGCATCAGCCTGATTTGTAACTGGGCCTATGACCTAAGCCAGCTTAGATATGTGACTCATTTCTGAATGGTGTATGAAAGTGACACATGCAATTTTCAAAAGCAGCCTTTCTATCTCCTCCATCCTTCTTATACCCATTAGGGATGATAGAATGGAAATCTGGAAATAGCCTGGATTCAACATCAAAGGCTCTCCCATGTCAACACTAAATCTTCTCCTATTACATACAAGAAAATGACATTGTTCTCTCATTTAAGCAACTACTACCTTGATTCTCTTCTTCTTGCGTCCCAATCAATGTCCTAATGATAGTGTCCCTGGTAGTTTCCCCAGTAACCTACACTCAACACTGCAACTGGAATGATGGCTTAAGAATTAAATCAATTTCACTACTCAGTGCCTGCCACTGTTTTCACTGCCCCGATGCATTATCTAGTCCTTGCTTACTTTTGATCCATATCATACACTTCTGCTCTATACAAATTGAATTCCAGCAATCTTGACCTCCTTTTTGTCCCCAAAGGGAGAAAACAAAACAACAAAAATCTTATCCTCACTCTAGGTCCTTATGCTTTCTATTATTTTTCTCTGCCCTGTCTTCCCAAGAAGCTTTACGTGGTCACCTTCTCACTCTGGACTGACCTCAGCTACCATCTCCTGAATGAGGTCTTTCTTGAGCATCCTTTCTAAAGGACTCTACATCACCACTCATAACACTGCTTTATTTGCTCACAGTTCTTAATAGTACCTGAAATTTTCTTTTCTAATCATATAGTTACTTATTGGTGTGCTATGCCTTCTACCATTAAAATGTAACCTCCTGGAAAGCTAAGACTTCATATACTTAGACATATCAGTTTTTTAAAAGCGCAATACTATGTAATTTCTATCAACCGCTTTTAGCTTAATTTTCTGGATCCATTATCATGCTATTCCATAAATATGCAGATTGCTTGAGGGTACCTGTTAGCTGGAGCCTTATTCCACAGACGATTTTGTGTTCTCCCTCTACATGTGATGAAGGTTTCCAATAGACCACATTTAAGTCCCTCTGGTAATCAGAAACTAAGAGATTTTTTTAAATAAAATCATAAAGAAACTTAAAAGGTTTAGGCAAAAAGCAGCTAATTGGGAGAATAAACATCCAAAATGATGTCTAATTTGGTTGAAAATAACCAGAATCTACCACCTGACCCTGGGAAAGATTGCTGAAGTGCTTGACTTCTGGCTTAATTTGCAATCCAACCTAAGGAAGATTGTTAAAGTCCTCTAAGTTGGATGGATACTCTCTAATAAATGCATTGTGAATCTCAAGGTACAACAATTTCAAGTCAAAGTTGGGAAACTTTAATGTGTGTTTCCCATTATCTTTAAAAATTAAAAACAGCTCTGCCTGTGGCCCTCTTGTCTTGGCGAACAGAAACACTCCCAGCAAGTGCTTGTGTGAAGGCAAAACAATAGTTTGGAAAGGGAGAATGAAAAAATCAACTTTGTCTTTATCTGCATAATGACAATCCATCGATTGTACTGATTTTCAAAAATCAATTTTATGATTAACACAAATTTTAAAATAGCATATCTTTAAATGCTGTCTTTCATTATTCGTCCATGTGACAGTTGTCTTTTGCAGGCTATGCGATTGGCAACATGGAGCTAAAGCTTCGATATTTGGATGATGAACAGATGAAGGGATGTTCAATGTCGAATGAGATGTTTTTCCTTTAAAATTTTACATACCTGCACTGAGTCACATAATTCTATAGAAGTTCTCTGCCAGCTTTCTAATGTTTCAAGCCTGTTTTCACTCTATTATTTTTCTCTAAGCAGACTTAAACTTAGAAACCAAATAATGACATCCTTCCTAGAAGAAAAAAAAAGTTTCCTCAAATTACTTGAGCGGACTTCCGTCGATGTTTTATTTTCAATAAACCTTGAGGCAAATAGCCACTTTTGAACCTTGCACTTTGCCCCCTGAGTTTCACAACCTGGCGAAAGATCAATACCAGAGTCAAAAGTGTCAGCAAAAATGAAAATGATATGCACAAATTGTTATTTATACAAGTCCCCTGATTTTGTTTACTGAGTTTAATATAAACTCTGCCTTTTGATTAAAAGCAAATGTTCAAGTTCTCTGTAGGGACCTGCTGTTCTAGATGATTATATCTTAAAAAAAAAAAAAAAGCAAAAAACTGCAAAGGGCAAGAATTAACTGAAAAAGGCAGATCCCTAGCAGGAATTCCTTTGGTATTAAATAGCAGAAGATAATGACTAGGCCATGTGGGTATGTGGGCCAGAAAAAGGAAGAGAAGATCACAAAAGACATAATTCTTTACTTATGAAGGTCTTCTGAAATATATATCATTCAAAACAATTGGTGTAATATACCAAAATTAATAAAGATTGTCCTTTTGAATTAGCTTTTCTACTTCTTGAAATTTACCAAAATAAAATAATCAAGGAAGCACGCCCATACTGTCCTTGGTGATTATGGCACTTTGTTCCTTATAGAAATAACAAAATTAAAAGTAAAAAAAAATAATAATAGGGCAAGAAAGAAATGGCTATATTCATTTATGAGAGAAAATAAATCTATTTGAAATACTTTATAGAATATTTAATTCAATGAAAAAATGTATTGCTGTATATAAAAAAAAGCAAGATACTGAAACTACACATACAATGTGATTCACCATGTGTAAAATCTACAAATTATATAGACATTAATGTATACAATTAATTGGCCTATTTCTCTGGTGTTGGATCTACAGCCAGTTTTCATTTTCCTTATTAAATGTTTTGATTTAAAAATGTTTTCAAAGGATATATATTAATTTTATAATTAAGCAGTAATGGTTAAAATGGGTGCTATGCTGTTTAAAATACTATCTAGACACAAAAGGAAAACCTACTGAATTTGTCAAGACCCGGTATATTTTACAGAGCCTAAGGAAGCAGATGGCAATGAATTCTAAACTCATTTGTTTTTTGCTCCTTTTCGTGGTTTCCCACTACCAAGAGAGTAAATCTCAACTCTTCAATCCAAAGAATTAATAAACACCTGTGACAAATTCTGTCCTGGTTCTAGATATTGCTAAGAATTTCAGTAGTCTATAATTCTTGTCCTCAAGGAGTTTACAATCTTGCTCGGGAAAACAGACTTACTATTTGAAGTATTTACAGAATAATTAATGGACAGTTTGTGTGGTCCTTGCCAATTGTGAGGTCAGTTTCTGAGTTTATTCCTCTTCTCTTATGATGTTAAAACATAAGAGAGTGGCAGGGATCTTGTGAATTATTTAACAAGAACAAATACAGTAAAGCCACAATTAAATTTTTTACATCGTATTCAATGCAGCTCAAATTAAGTCATTTAAAACATGGAAGTGAAATACGTACATCTTCTATTTGATTTCAGTTGTTAGGGAATTAAAATTAAAACATCCAGACTGTATCACTTAGCACACGCTTAGGTATTCCAGTGAAGAGAAAATATTAAATCAAATAAGGATTCAATCTCAGACTAGACACAATTTAAGCACAACCCACTGTCAAATGTTTGGTGATTTATTTGTATCCATGACAGCAATGTTGTGAAGCGGTGAAAAGAATGTCTTTTATAAGTAACTCTTCTGAATCCTGCCCTCAGTCCTATTGGTTATGTATCATCTTCACACGAGTTCTAACTTAAAAACAAAACAACACAAAACAAACTGCATAATGAAAAAAATGGAGATAAAGTAAAAATTAGTAGGGGAAAAAAGGTCAATATCTGTAAGTAATTAAATATCACATTGGCTCCTTGGAATTTAGCAGGCAAGAGATCATGTTTCACTCCATTAATTTGTTCTTTTTACTGCCCACTATAGGAAACAAAGAATGGAAACCAGTCCCCAGATTTCCATCTTAAACTCATAGCATCCTTCCCAGTAAGATAGTCTTCC